CGTTGTCATGCATTCAGTGTGTCAAGTGTGTTTACTATAACGATAGCACTGATTGATTCCTTGCTGAAAACTCACAATATACCAGAGGGGGTCAGTGTCACCTTTAGGGTTCCATTAATCCAGTGGTGGGCCGTCAGGGCCTGCAAGGCCTTCTCTGCTGGCCTAGACAGAATCACAAAGTTATAGCTATTTTATAATTTTTCTTAAATACACTACATGTATTATAATTTATGAAAATATTTTTCCCATTATCTTATTTTCTCATTGCACAGCTACTGTCTTCCTCAGTTGCTCTGCTTCCAATGCAGCTTGTTTTAAGTAGAGCTTTTATCCCATCAGATTTCACCTCTGTGTCTCTAGGTAAGAAGAGAGGCCCGAGGCCTGCAGACTCACAAGTGCATCCCTTTGCAGTTTAAGTGAATGGGGACAATATTGTTGATTGTCATAGTGTTCAACCAATCAGATCTTTAGTTTGACATGTTGGGCGTATTCTTTGATGTGTCAGCGCCTGCTAGCTGGCCTACAAATACGTCAGCATTACGTGCAGCTCAGTTTTCAGGTGCAGCTCTGCAGTGAGGTGCAGCGTGTGAGCACGTGACTATTGTGAAACGAAACTTAAGCTGGCAAAGCTTAGTCGGAGTAGTAAGAGTTCAAATTGAAAGATATGGAAGAAATTATGACATTTGTTGCATTTTGCTTGGTGTAGATCAGTGGTCCCCAACCTTTTTTGCACCACGGAACGGTTTCATGTCAGACAATATTTTCACGGACCGGCATTCAAGGTGTGGCGGATAAACACAACAAAATAAAATGATACAATCGGCATGAAAACAAATATAAAATGCATAAATAAATACAACTCACAATAACGCTGAATCAGTGGAGCCCTGAGCTTGTTTCTCTGCAACGAGACGGTCCCATCTGGGGTAATGGGAGACAATGACACCCGAAGTGTGTTCCTTATGTCCAGTTTTGTTTTGATTGCTGTCACTGCAGAACATCCCGCTTCACAAAGAGGATGTGTGAAATGGAAGCAGAGTTTTCAGTGCTTTTGTGGCAATCTCAGGATATCCAGCCTTGATTTTAATCCAAAACACCAGCAGAGTTGTTGCCTCAAACATACTTTTAAGGCCACCGTCATTTACAATCTCCAGCAGCTGATCTTCCTCTGTCGCCACATATTATGCAGAGCGGGCTTAATTAGACTTAATTAGGCGGGCGGGCGGGCAGGCAGGCAGGCAGGCAGGCAGAGAGGCAGGCAGAGAGGCAGGCAGGCAGGCAGAGAGGCAGAGAGGCAGGCAGAGAGACAGAGAGACAGAGAGGCAGGCAGGCAGGCAGAGAGGCAGGCAGGCAGGGAGGCAGGCAGAGAGACAGGCAGAGAGGCAGGCAGAGAGGCAGGCAGAGAGGCAGAGAGGCAGGCAGAGAGGCAGGCAGAGAGGCAGCCAGGCAGGCAGAGAGGCAGAGAGGCAGGCAGGCAGGCAGGCAGGCAGAGAGGCAGGCAGGCAGGGAGGCAGGCAGAGAGGCAGGCAGAGAGGCAGGCAGGCAGGCAGAGAGGCAGAGAGGCAGGCAGGTAGGCAGAGAGGCAGAGAGGCAGGCAGAGAGACAGAGAGGCAGGCAGGCAGACAGAGAGGCAGGCAGGCAGGGAGAGAGGCAGAGAGCCAGGCAGGCAGGCAGAGAGACAGGCAGGCAGGCAGGCAGGCAGAGAGGCAGGCAGTAGGGAGGCAGGCAGAGAGTCAGGCAGGCAGAGAGGCAGGCAGGCAGGCAGGTAGGGAGGGTCCGTCTACGTTTTAGTCATCTGTTTTACCGTTAATTTGGAAAAAACAAAATACTCCTTTTTCGTTTCAAACCAAAAATGGGAAAACGGAAATTGGCCTTTGTATTTCCGTTTTTGGTTCTGAATTCAAAAATGGAAAAACCAAGAACCAAAGTCAAATAACGAGCCGTATTTCGTTTTTGCAAATCCCTTTTTTGTTTTTTCCTTTAAAACGAGACACAGAGCACAACAGGTAACCCGGAAAGAAGAATATTTCAAAATAAAAGTGAAGGCATTAGAATGACTGTATGCAAGAAATTAATAAATTAATAAATAAATCTCGGCCGATGGGAGTGCGTTAGCATAAGCAGTTGACTCAGCGTCGGAAATACACGAGGGCAAAGGGCAAAACTGCCCCTATAAGAAATATCATTTTGCACCTGATATCACTAGGAGAGGGGCAAAAAATGCCCCAGAACTTCTAAACAAATAAATAAATAGAGCGCTTCTTAATCAGACCTGTGACTGCGAGACTGCGGTCAACTCAGCAGACACTTAAATTTTAGTGCACCTATATTCTGAAATTCACGGTAAACTCATTCAAACGGCGCAGATCGGGAGCGAGCGAAGGACTTTGAAAGTTAACGGAAAGATTAACATGAGACAACATCAGGTTTCTTCAGACGAACATCCGGTTTTCAGAATAAGATGCCAACAAAGTCTACATATTGCATAATGGAAATGAGATTAAATGAATTATATTCACATTAAGTATAAAACATGCTACCTGCATCTCTTGAGTTAAAGGTAAAATACACCTAAATTGTGCGCAAAGTGTCTTTATTCTTTGATTTGAGGGTTGCTGGAAATCAATAATACCTAACCGACAGTCAATTAAGATATTTTACTAAGTAAAAACTCTGAACTGAATTTGTACCTTCAAATGGCACATTTTTTAAATTTTTAAGGTGCTATAAAAATGTTTTTCTCAAAAATTCCACACAATGACTAATGCATAAGTTCAGGACAAAAAGGGTATTATATTATTTGAGGTGCTACAAAAATATTTTTTCTCAATAATTCCATACAATGACTGATGTATATGTAATCAAGGCATCGTTGACTTAATAATTGTTAATAGTTGTTTAAAACATTTAATAATAACAATAAATAACCAAAAAGAAATAAGAATAAAATTGAATATGATTGTCTGATTTATGCTTGTTTTTTGTTAAAAAATCTGTAGACTACTGCCTAATAGTCTTATTATTGCCATTTGATGACAATTGCTCATATACTGTAAGCCTAAATAAGTATATTTATTATTTTGAACAAAGGTTAAATGTTATATCACAAGTTTTAAAAAGTGCCCCCGATTTTTTGAAAAGGCCCCTGGATTTCAGTCAGTGGGGGCAAAAATTGCCCCCTAAAAAATGTGTAAATTTCCTACCCTGAGTTGACTACATGCTGTTTAATATTAATTTATCTATGTACACAGCAATAATTAAGTTTTAGATTAATCGGTGCATTGTTTGATGCAATACAGTTCGTGATATAGTTTAATCAAAGTCATTTTCGTGTTCACAGTTGTAGGCACTGATATATTCCACCGTATTGTGCTGTTGATTTAGTGAACGTGAAGTAGATGCAAAGTCAAAGTGTTTACCATTTTTACCAGTAGATGACAGTACACGTGTATTTAAACCATAGATTTAGTCATATTTACCTGTGCCTTTAGGTTATTGATACAGATGTATTTAATGCTGATTAGTTCATCTGATATTTGATGTTCATGTTTAATTTGCATTAGTTGTATACATCATGTATTTACTTGTTATATTTGTGTCATTTAAGAACTCAACATACCTATATGGAAGAGTGAGCATGTGTTGATTATGAGGCAATAAATAATGACAATTGAAAAAATAAAGATGTTTGGTTTATTCTTATTAAACATTAAGCCTAATTTAACTACCTCGTTGATTTAATTGTCACACTTAAATCCTTATTTGAATGGTTAAACAGAAGAGATCAAATGGCCAAGATGAGAAGATATAATGTTGGTTAAATGCTGTGGTCCAAATAAAATGACTTCAGTTTTAATGTCATTAAGTTACAGAAAGTTTGACTCTAAAATGTTTTCATTTGTTTTCCTTAATCTCAAAAGACAAGAGCAAAAACCAGATTAATTGGTTCTCTTTTCTTCTTTGCTGCCATGTTACTGTCTCGTGACCCCTCAGGTTGATCTCTGGAGCTGTAGGGGGATGCAGACCGTCAGGATGAATTGAGTTGGGAACCAATGCAACAGACTACCAGCTCTTTAGCATGTTGGACACACCAGCATGACACTGTCTCGTAAAATGAAGTTGAAAACTGTTGAAAACTGCGACCGTGATATGAGAGAAAAACATGTCCCTCGAAATGTAATTGAAATTGCAGTTTAATGATATTGGAATGTAATTTTGTAGGAAAAATAAATGTTTCTAGTGAGATACAATACTAGTTTCCTCTTTCGTTGTAAATTGGATTAATTTGCTCTATCATCACAAAGGTCAAAGGTCACATTGTGCCTGAGTACACTGTGTTGGCCTTTATAGTGGTTTAATAAATGATCAGATCCCCTTCCAGGTAGCAGGTGCTTGTGATTCTATACAGGCAGTATGACACGTCTCCTTTAAATAAAAAGATTGTTTAATCTTATTGTTCAAAACAAGATCAATTACATCAGATATGGTTAATATTTGTGGTTACACTTATCAAAATGTGTTTTCTGTGCATGCATTACACAAACAAACTTAGTTTGTCCTTTACTACTTTATTGACTTGAAAGCTAAATAAGTACCACATCAAATTCCGTTACATACACGCATGTATGTATACATACACGCATGTATGTATACATACACGCACGCATGTATACATACATGCATGTATACATACGTGCATGTATACATACATGCGTGCATGTATACATACATGCATGTATACATACATGCGTGCATGTATGTATACATACATGCGTGTATGTATACATACGTGCGTGTATGTATACATACATGCGTGTATGTATACATACATGCGTGTATGTGTGTATGTATACATACATGCATGTATACATACATGTGTGTATGTATACATACATGCACACATGTACATACATGCAATCTTTACAATGCATGTATACATGCATGCATGCATGTATGTATACATGCATTGTAAAGATTGTACATTTGTGATAATGGGAGATAGAAATAAAATTGGATTGAATTGTAAAGCCTCAGTAAATCTGGTCCTGTTTTCTCTCATGGTGCACAGAAAACAAATTCCACCGGCCCTTCAAGTGCAGTGAAGCACATGTATCTACACGTGAAGTGAACATTCTTGTCTGTGTTTTTTTGGTCATTATCTTATCAATCAGGAATATTCAAACCATGTTTTTAATGCAGTCCTAGGTTTGTGTGCCGTTTTGTATCTGCAGTTTCTAAATTGAGCTGACATTTATTTCTCTTTATCCCCTGTAAACTTGTATGATATTAAAAGATAGGTTGACATTGTCCAAGTCTGTCTCATAGCAATAATCATAAGTACATTGAAATAGTTTTGCTGTTAATGTCAATTGTTCCTCTTGTCCTCAATAACCACAAAAGGTTTCCTTCTTAAAGCGATTCCAGTATAAGTGACGGTGCTCGTTCCAAATGAGTAACTTCAGAAGTCATCATGTTTTGGGTGCAATACTCTCTTTGTGTTTCTATCCCTTCACATAACTCAGCAAGGGCACACCGTCTGGATCCACATGATAAAGACTACATTTGGAAGACGCCCACAAATTAGACAGCTGAAGCCTCATATTAGCTTCAGCTGTTTTTACACAGAACGAGGGCTGTGGATTTTACAGTTTATCCAGATGTTTATTCTTATCAAGGTGAGACACGGTCTGAAACATCATGTGACACAAACCAATACAAAATAAGCAGCTCTTTAGATTCAGTTGAGCTATTCGTCCTTAATTTGAGGAAATTGTTCATATAAATCTTTGTTATTAAAGACAGATTGTATGAGGCATTGGTCTAAGCACCACAACAGAGGTTCAGTATCTATAAACCAACATATCAGTGTTAGCTGTCAGTGAGACTTGAAAACAATCTTCTTTGTTTAACCAGTTCATTTTCAGATTTCCATAATGTCTGCTGGTCCCTTTTTCTCTTCCATTAGAAAGTGACAGTACTGAGATGAAGCCACAGCTCCTCCTCCTCACATCTGCCGGCTGGCTGACAGAGGTCTTCACAGCTGGTTGTCTGCTCATCTCGTCTCATTGTCCTCTCGAACCTCTGCTGTGTGGGTTGCAAAGATCTGACACATCAGGTATCACCCCTTTGATGTCTCCTTATCGCCTCCTTCTTTACCGCCTCACTTCCCCTCTTCTCCTGCTCCTCGCTCTGCTGGCCATTTGACAGAGATGTGGTAAGACTTCAGCTCCTCCTCAGACACAAAGTCAGGGGCACAGCTCATGAGGTCATGACCCCGGAACGACTTGGGGAAGGCGATGACGTCACGGATGCTGGGAGCGCCGACCATGATGGAGACCAGTCGGTCCAAACCTAGAAAAGCATGGAAGAGTTAAAAAATGACTTAATAAATATATAACCATTTTCACCTTTTAGCTTATGAATGTAGCAGTATTAAATATATCACATTGGCTCCTCAAGCCAACAGACGGTAGCTAACACTGCTAACTTTGATGCTGCGTAATAAGCAATTGTTGAGCTTGCTATCTGAAGAGAGGCCGGGGGCGTGTGATTGATTTTTAAAGTTTTTATAATAAAATAAGAATTATAACCAATAAAAATTCACTCAAAACTTAACTTGATAATAAAATCACTTTTATAATAATTCTTTTCTAATTCTCATTCAATTTCATAACGTTTCTCATATTTGAACCCAAAATGGTCCAAAGTGTACAACTTGTATTATAGTCCTAGATTTGCTGATATTTTTCTTACTGGGTATGATTCATCAGTTGAACTGAGAGCTACAGCCCAACTGATACCTCATCCACCAACATTGGCCTATCACACATATGTGGTATGGAGAAGACGTGTAGCAGACGTTGGCAGATATGCAATACTAAACTACTAAACAGTAATTTAGAAATGTATTTAGAAATGTTGTGCTGACTGTAATTGATCCATGTACTTTGTGTTTGTCTTTAGATATATTAATAGTTTTATTTTCAGTGAAGTTTACTCTTTAATATTAACCTTGAATCTATCATTACTTTCATCTAATGAAATGTATTGCTCAACTGCAATGTCAATAACTTGCAGCTCATAGATGTATAAACTGTGAGCTGTTGTTGTTAGCCCGCTAGCCCTGCTAGCTCCCGCAGCACATGTTTATGTATAGCACTCTATTTTGCCTGGCAGATTTCGGTCTCCGACCCGTGTCAAAGTTCAATCAGATCTTACTCTGTGGGAAACAAGCCAGATAGGTCAATCCGCGACTGGCAGCAAATACGCCTTGCTTCATTCTTCATATTCAATATATGGACCCTGGACATGATCCAGGGTCTAGTTTGGAGGTAAACCCTTTTGCTTAAGGGAGCATCCTAATTAAGAAAAATAAAATGTGTAAAAATACACTTTTTTTCCTTTTACTTTGCTAAACCAGCTCAGTGAAGTACAGCGTTGACCTCACCCAGAGCAATGCCTCCATGTGGGGGTGCTCCGGAGTCCAGAGCCTCCAGCAGGTGAGAGAGAAGACTGGGATCCTCCTGCAGCGGACAGTTAGGATAAAAAGCAGTTATGACCAGTCATTTATTCAACCTGATTCTAAAACTTCAAGGTATACATTAACTGACCTTGAGGACACTCTTCAGGACGTGAAGCTGCTCTGAGGCCTTGTGGATGCGGATGGAGCCTCCTCCAATCTCACAGCCGTTCAACACCAGGTCATAGTGCTGACCGCGTACCTGGAATGCATCCCACGTGACGCGCATGATTATTTCTAACCGTTGCAAAAAGGAATAGAAGAAGACACTGAGATAAGAGTGAATCTACGTGACTACCTTCTGTGGCTCTGTGTAGAGCAGCTGCGTGTCCTCCGGCAGTGGGGCAGTGAATGGATGATGAGCTGACTCCAGCTGCTCCGGCTCCTCCTCTTTGGGCAAGAAGAGGGGGAAGTCCAAAACCCACAAGAAGTGGAAGGCTGAGGGGTCACGGACTGACGCGCCGCGTGACTCCAGGAGCTCCGCACATCGCAGACGAAGATTACCCAGCAACGGGCGCTGCGAGTGGTGGGGGCGTAGCAGGACCCGTGAGACAGGAAGGGGAAGGGATATACACACGTCATATTAATAACTTTTCCCCTTGACGTCAGTGGGTCTCTTACCACAGTGTGGAGGGACCCGGCTACCATCAGCACCAGGTCTCCTGGTTTGGCTCCGGTCCTCTGCAGCAGCTCGTCTGTGGCCGAGACAGACAGCAGCTTCTTCAGGGGAGACTTCAAAGTCCCGTCGGCTTTGACCAGCACCACGCTGAGCTCCTTGGGACCAAACATACCCACATGAAGAGACAACATAAAAAAGACATACTGAGACAATACTGGGTGGAAACAATAAAACTGCACCGTCGCAAAATAAACCTTTGTGAAGCTGAAGCTCTGTTTTTGCTTCGGCTGCATCAGACAGAAATTTTGAGAGGATAGTTAGAGTGCTGATATTGGATCGCTGTCTCATCAGCTATTGGATGGATTGCCATGAAATTGCCTTGCAGAAAAGTGACCCTGGATCTACGGAATGCCATTGAAGTTTATAACACATAAATAAATAAATGTCTGTAAGATAAATACTGAAATTAATAAATAAATGAGGCAAAAAATATATAAATGACTATTCCTTTAAAAGACCAAAGTCACACAATAGAAAAACAACTGATCAAGGCAGCAACTCCCTTGTTTTGTGAGGTAAAGTTAGTGTTTTTGTCAAATTAGTCTTGTGGCTTTGAAGAGATCATAGATAAGTTCAGTTCAGTAAGGACCGTGTGACAGCAAGGGAAAGAGGTGAAGATATTCTAGATATAACGTACACTTAAACTGATATAGATTTGGTAAGCAGTACATTACTTTGCTCCTGTCCGTTTCTATAAACTCCATCTACTGTAGTAAAACACTGACTATGGAGAAGAAGCTCATACAAACACACTTTAAAAAATCTGAACTATCCCTTTAAGATGTTTTGCAACTTTGACGGATGCTGTTTTAAAAGTCACAAATAATCAATATTAACAAGAAATGCTGATTTGAAGCTAGTTAAACCTTTGCTTCAAAGGTTGTATTTGCTACAAGGCTCAATCATACAAAACAACAAGAAATTGATGGAACATGAAATAGTGCCATGACAAAAACAAATCTCAAGACAATAGAGGTTGAGAAAGTAAGAGGACAAACAAACCAACCTGGCTGAACTGAGTCTTGGCTTTTTGTTTCAGTTCTTCCAAATCTTTCCCAGCAAACAGTTTCTGTGGTCAAACACGAGACAGAGAGGATCGTGTGAGTCCGACAGCTGTGACGCAGGTCAACAAAGGCAAGATATCAGCAAGCCTGTTACTTCTCAAGCATCGTTCTGTCTTTGGTTCTCATCATTATTATAAGTCCAGCATGCTCTGATGGATTTCTTTTTTTATCAGGAACATACAGGTTCTGGTCTTACCGCTCCACTGGGGACACAGACGGCCTGGACGGAGCCTCCCGGTTGGCTGAGAGCTGATCTGAGGAAATCAATCTCCGTGGATAAGAAAAGCTGTCGGAGGTCGATCAGCTGGACGGACAGACAGAAAGACAGGAGTGCTTAAACACCCGGAAACATGCTGGTATATCATACTCAGAGGAACATGACTTGCCTTTAACAGCAGTGAGTTGTATATTCAGGTCTTATCTTAAAATTAAAATCTCCACCACTGATGTTAGAACAGTAATTACAGTCATCTAATGAGCTTAATTCCTTTCTGCTGCAGAAAGATCCGTTCTGATATCATATCGGTGACATTTAAAAAAAAACCTCAAACAGCCCACCTTCATACTGAATCTGGTGTCGGGCTTGTCCACACCGTAGTCTCTCATGGCCTCTTCATATGTCATGGTTTGGAAAGGGACCGTAATGGGACCTTTCTCTGCAGGCCAGGAGTCCTGTAAAAGACCCTCCACCAGGGACAGGATGCCGGCCTGGTCCACAAAAGACATTTCTATGTCTACCTGGGAGAGATAACGAGAGGATGAACATGGGTCAGGACTGTGAAACCACCTAGCTACGTCCAAGTCAACACCAGGACCACGAGCAAGGCACTCCTGGATCAAAGAACAGGACAAATCAAACCAAAGTCAGCATCTAGACCAAAGGTACAAGAAACATGAATGATGCAAAAGATTTATCTTATATTACGTGCCATATGTATGGTTGTTGGCATTCTTTTGATATTCTTCTGAGCTATATTTTGTGCTACTCAATCCAGCACCAGCTAACGAAATGTGATGAATGAGGTGTTTATAATATCGAGTAATATTTTAGACAAAGACTAAGTTCCATTATGGTTTAGCGATGCCTAGTTTTCACCCAGGTGGCCCCAGTTTGAGTCCCAGTTTGAGTCCCAGTATGAGTCCCAGTATGAGTCCCAGTATGAGTCCCAGTATGGGAACAAATACCAAATTTCCCGGATCTAGTCTGGTCTGGATGAAACTGGAATATTTCAGCTCCAATACCCGTCACTATCGACATAAAGAGGTACAATAAAGTCACAAGATAAAACCTGTGAGATTAAAAAAATCACTTTGTCAGTGTTTTCCCCATTCCGCCTCCACGTTACCTGGGTGAACTCGGGCTGCCGGTCCGGTTTGGAGCCTTCATCTCGGTAGCACCGAGCCATCTGGAAGTACCTGTCACCGTGACAACAATGAACATAGACAAAGACTTCTTAAACTCCTTTGAATTGTTAACAAAATATCACACACCATACACACACACACACACACACAGTTTTTCTGTGCTCAGGCTGTCACCCCACCTGTCTACACCAGCCACCATCAGAAGCTGTTTAAACTGCTGTGGACTCTGGGGCAGAGAGTAGAACCGGCCCGGCTCTCTGGACGGAACCACAAACTCTTTGGCTCCCTGAAACACAAAAGAATGAACAGAGACTGAGGGAAGCAGAGATTATATCATGTCCCTAAATTTAAGAGAAATTATATTTTACCCAAACTGATTATAAAAGAGACAAATTCTTAGCTCCTCTGAATGTGTGTTTGTTTAAGAACGGTTAAAGTGACTTTGGTTCTGTGTCGTAATATTTACATGATGAAGGACAGTCTTACCCCCGGTGTTCTTTTAAACAAGGTCGGAGTTTCCACGTCCACAAAACCTTCAAATGACAAAAGCATAGACACGCTTAAACAATGAGGACCTGGATTCTACTGTTTTCTATCTACAATTATGTAAATGATGTGTAGTGTTTTCATGCTTCTCTATGGAAGCTCTGAGAGGAAAGAGAGAAAAAATAAACTATTCTGGTGATCCATTATCTAAATCTGATCTGAATAGCTTTCTGTCCGGTGTTATTACTTAAGAACAAGGTGAAACAAAAAGGTTTCGTTAAGATAACCTTTTTAAGTTGCTCATCTACTTTCTTCCATCTGTGAAACGGGTTTTGCCAGGTGAAATAAAAAGTTTTGTCAAGATGTTTGTTGTTGTAATGCTCATTTCGGCCACAAGAGGCTGAAGTGCACCACTGCACTATGTTCTAAAGAGGACTAAAGCATTCATATTTTCCCTAAAGACAGATAGAAATACATTTCTAGCCAAAAGAAAGACATGACAGTAATGTTACATAACTTCCTAACATGCAGTATCTGTGCATGGAGACATTAAAAGTCACCTGGAAGAAAACATGGCTGCTGTTAGTCTTCTTTAGCACATGGAGTAGTGGTGCACGTCAGCCTCTTGTGGACAAAATGAGAATTACAACAAACACTTGAAAAAATGCTCCTGACAAAAAAGAATTCTCAAACTTTCCTTTTCCCCCCCGTTTCACATATGAAAAAAAACATTCAAGGAACGAAGAAAGATTCTCCTGATAAAACCTTTCACGGATGAGCAACCTGCCACAGTGTTTCCCGGCTTGGGACGACCACCAGCTGTAATGAACAAAAGACGAGGGAGGAAGTAAATCCCGCTCTCCTTACCGTGCACATTACAGAGGAACTCTCTCATCTTCATCACCAGCTGAGACCTCAGTCTGAGGTTCTTCTGCATCTGAGAGGACCTCAGGTCCAGGTAGCGATACTGCATCCGCAGAGACTCAGACTTCTGTACAAGAGAAACACAATTCATGATTAATAACGATAATAAATCACATTACCTGCTTGAACATTTGTAAAATTGTTAACTTACTTTAACAAAGTCTTTAATCTCAAAAGGCAACTTCCGGCACACATTAAAAACCTCCACAGCGTGAGCCAGGACTTCTACTTCTCCAGTTGGCATCCCCTGTTCAATGAGAAGATGAATAAGAAAAGACTACTTCCAATGTTTGCTCTGCCAACCACCACCGTTCAGAGGAAGTCTCTTTAAGAACACCCAGATAATTCACATTCACATTTAACACTTATCAGCATATTACAGCAATTCAATGTAACGCTACAAGTAAGTTACAAGTGAATAGAGACGAATCAATAGAGTAAAACATGCTGTTGTTTCCATACCTCATATGAATAAGGGGACCTTCTTTTCATGATTTAATGTTTTACACACACACACACACACACACGCACACACACACACACCTTGTTCTCCTGCCCCGCGGGTCGTCTTCTGACTGTTCCCGTTACCTTGACAACAGACTCGGCCATGAGATCACGCAGTGCTGCTTTCAAATGACTCGCAGACTTCAAACCACAGGAAATAAAAGGTTAAACACTAGTAAAACACAACTTCTTGAGTTGCAAAAAGAACTTTGTTGTACTCGTCCTTACTTCGTCCTGAGGGATTAGAACTTGGGCCAAGCCGCTGAAATCTCGCAGGATGACAAACAGGTCTTGCCTGTTGGAGGCAGAAACATGGTTAGAATACTATTTCATGTAACTCTGCAACCCTCAAGTTGTAATATTTAGATGTAAGTGCATATTTTCTCTTTATCCCAGATAGAATGGTGCAGTAAGGTATGGAGAGGTCACAGGACGTGTAGAATAAATATGTAATAGTGACAAACACTGCGTGTCCTAAACACCAGTGAGAGAGCTTTAAATGGCATTTACATTTTTGTTATTGTGCCTTAAATGTTGTTTTTCGCAAAAAATTTGGCAACATTGTTTATATTTTGCATTTTAGTCGTCAAATTTGAATTAACGTTTGATATTGTCCACTGTACAGCAGGTGAAGTCAAACACTGTTTCAATTTTCAAATGGTTAGAAAAATGCTTTTTCATTTTGACTTAAATATTGCCTGCATAAAAGATGAAATCAGGTTACACTGTTTATATTGCTTTCTAATTTTCAAATCTGAATCAACATTTGAATATTGTCCTGATTATTGCATTTTCATTTATACTCAAACAACACATACATACGTGGAATATTATAATAAAGTCCCTGTGAGCTTCCATATATAGAGGCCTTACTGACAGGGCTGAGTTAGTAAAAATGAACGTGCCGTGTACATCACAGGATTTCAGGGCATTTTTAGTCATTTAGGGATAGCAGCGTCAATCTTTGATCCAGACTGAAACATGTAAACGACTATTAGATGGTCTGGAACAACACGTCGTACAGACATTCATGGTCCCCATAGGGTGGACCTCTCATTGCTATTTAAAGCCCCCAGTGTTTGAAAGTAACGTGGGCAGTAACAGAATAATACCTGAGGTATTGGACCCAGCCACACAGAGTGACTTCCTCACCCACATGATCCGATCTCAGTTCTCCACAGGTGTGACTCCTGAACGACAGACTGCTGGGACCTGGAAGAGGAACAAGGAGAACATTGTGGCTGGACGATAACTGGGATTGTTGTGGTCATATGTCATCTTCTATACATTCCCATCGTCCAAATCAATGACTCCAAACAAGCTGTAATGCTGCCGAGTTACTAAATAACAAACACGTGTGTAGCTATCAGTGGAACGCAATTTGTTGCTTTCAACATAAGCTTGATTAGTTCATGTGATTTTGCATAATTTGTTACACCTCTGTGTGTATAAATGCATAATGTGATAATGATTTAAATATATATATATATAAATATAATCCATATCAATGTTTCACGGTAGACGACTTCATTGCAGGAAACAAGCCGGTGTATTTCATACCATTAATGACGGCTGCATTCCACTTGGAGCAGGTCCTGATGTTGGCCATACTGGGACCACAGAGTGAGACTCTTAAAGGAACAGAGCCATTGGCTGCCGTCGAACAGTCAAAACTTTTCCTAACCACTTTTGATGATGTGAATGAGAATTCATAAGGATTTAGGAAAACACAAAAATAAATAAAATAAAAATAATCCAACTCCATTTACGATAGGCTACGTAATTATGTTAATGACGTGGGTCTGCCGTCCCTTTCAATGTCGTTGCAGCGGTTGATATGAATTGTGGGAAGGTATTATCTTCTTTCCTTTCGAAAAGGATGCTAAAGGAGACATGAAAGGAGGCACGTCAGCCTCCTTTCATGGAGTTTTTGGACTAACTAAATACCACTCATTACTGTACTCACATCCTGGACCCGTATGGGGGTCACTGTCCCAGTCAGTGTGGTCTAAGTGACATGATAAATGACTGCATGGTACCTGTGGTTGGAGACCTTGACCTGCAGACCGGATATGAGCAGCTCAGGTGTCTGAGTTGAGGTCTCCACAGCGGGCGTCCTTGACGGGAGGTCGAGGCTGAGCTCTGGTACCAAACAGTGTGAGCTCTGAGTCCACTGAACAGCATCCGCAGCACACACCTGCTCTTTGCAGCCATGTTGTTCTACGACCACAACGCGAGGAGGTTAACTAAGCCTGTTAGTCATTGGACCGTACGGTCAGCGCGTGTCCTGCTGTTTTTAATGAAGAGCGAGCTTATCATGTAATGACACCGTTATTCAACATGAGAGTGCTAACACAGAGAACCGGTCTTCACTAACCGGGTCAGGACGTGAGGGGGTTGGATAAGAAAAACCTCCGCTGTCACTTCAACTTCCGGGTTCTGTGTCTTCGCTCGTGCTGAGCGGGACCCGCAACTCTCTGCTCATGTGGATGGGCTTTTCTGTTGAGTTACACGTTAGCTCAATGCTAATCCATATAGTTTAGGAGTCGATTATACGCAAACGGATGTGACGTCATGATAGAGACCGAGGCCAAAGCAGTCGATCTGCA